GAGTGGAACTGATCTGTTGAGCAAGCAATGAATCGTTTTCCTTCTGAAGATCTTCATAACTCACCCTTAGCTTCTCAAGATCTTGCTTTCTTTGAAGAAATGCATAAGAGAGCTTCTCATGATCAGCTAAGAGAGTGTTATGATGACTTTGAAGATTATCAAACTTAGACTGTAGTCGCTGAAGATCATCAGTCAGATTTTGAGTTCGATCCATTTCCTCACCCAACAGGTCATCGCTTTTGTCTAGCAGATTTTGAACCTTTTCCAGAGCTTTTTGTTGTTTGACGGAAATCTTGGCAAGTTTGGAATAGCTAGGTTTGAGATTTTCATCAGATTCATCCTCACTTGATTCGGAGGAGGGATATTTGAGTACCTTGGCACCTTTTTCCATGAAGCAATAGGTGGGAGCGTAGTCATCATTGTCGTCGTCAGTAGTGTTGGGGAAGCCATTTTCCTCATCGCTGAAGATGGACTTGCTGACGAAAGCAATAGCAAGGGCTAGGCTCGCCACACCAAAGTCTGACTCAGATTCCTCCTCGTCCTCATTTTCCTCAGATTCAGCTTCAGAATCCATTTCCGTGCCAATGAAAGCCCGAGCCTTTTTGGAACTGCTCTTCTTATGAGATGAGGACTTTGAAGATTTTGACGATGAGGACTTTGAAGATTTCTTCTTCTTCGAGTCATCGGAACTATCATCCTTGTACTTCTTCTTTGATTCCTTCGCCCATTAAGGACAATCAGCTATGTAGTGGCCAGGTTTCTTGCATTTGTGGCAAGTCCTCTTCTTGTAAACGCGGGATGAGGAATCTAATCTCATGTCATCACTTCTTGAAGATTTTCCAAAGCAACCACGTCTTGAGAACTTCTGAAATTTCCTCACGAGCATTGCTAGCTCCTGGCTTAGTTCTTTGGGATCACTAAGGCTGCTATCAGAATTTTCTCCTTCAGATGAGGAAACTGCCTTGGCCTTCAGTGCGTGTGATCTTCCATAGCTAGGCCCGTAGAGATCTCTCTTCTCAGCTAGTTGGAATTCAGAGTGTTCAGCCTCTCAAGGATACCAGCAGGATCTAGTGACTTGTAGTCTCCACGTTCTTGAATCACCAGTGTCAGTGTATCGAATGAGGAATCAAGTGATCTCAGCAATTTCTTCACCACCTCATGGTCGGTGATGTCAGTGGCACCAAGTTGCTTGAAGCTCATCTGAGATGTCAGTGAGGTGATCAAAGGTTTGTTGAACATTTTCATTGTCGAGTCTTTTGAAGCGGTTGAAGAGATTACGAAGAACATCAACTCGAGAGTCACGTTGAGTTGAGACTCCTTCGTTGACCTTGGACAGCCTATCCCAGATAAGCTTTGCTGTCTCCAAAGCACTTACTCTGTCGTACTTTCCTTTGCTCAGATGGCCACATATGATATTCTTCGCTTGAGAGCGATTGTTGCTTGAATCTCTCCACATCAGCAGCGTTCACGGAAGGAGTGATGGAGGGAATGCCATTTTCCACAACGTACCAGAGATCGTTGTCAATTGCCTCAAGATGCATGCGCATCTTATTCTTCTAGTAGGGATAGTCCGTCCCATCGAAGGTAGGACACCCAACCGAGACCTTGATCATGCCTGCAGTCGACATAACTAAAACTTCAGATGGTTAAACCAAAATCACACAGAACAAGGAAGTACCTTGCTCTGGTACCAATTAAAAGTGCGTTATATCGACTAGAGGGGGGTGAATAGGCGATTTTTACAAATTCGTAACTGAGGAAATTCAACTTGAGGAATTTGCTAAGCGACGAAGTACATGTAGCGGAATAAGTACTCAGGTGCAAGCACAACATGGCAGTAACACATTCATCATGAAGAAATGAAACAAGCACATGGTATAGGTAGCGTGTAAACAGGATAAGCAGGCTGAAGCTAAGATGACTGAAGAAATAGGAATGGGGAAATTGATAAAGTCTTCAGTCAAAGTCTTCAAACAGTAACAATCAAGTTCATCATCACATGAATGAGGAAATGAAAGGGTTGAGGAAATAGAACCAGTAGCTTGGTGAAGACGATGATTTGGTAGACCAGTTCCAACTGTTGTGACAGTTGTACGTCTGGTTGGAGCGGCTAGGTATTTAAACCTGAGGACACACAGTCCTCACCGTATTCTCCTTGAGCTAAAGTCAAACAGAACTTGCCCACTCACTCGTGGTAAGTCTTCAGGTGACTTCCAAACCTTCACAGACTCGGTCACTCGACGATCCACAATTCCTCTTGGATGCTCTAGACCATGACGCCTAACCATCTGGAGGATGCACAATCCTCAAAGGTAACAAGCGTCGATTCCACACAGGAACAATCTCTTCAGTGATGCTCAATCACTTTGGGTTGTAGGTGTTTGGGTTTGGGTTTTTCCTCACTGATGATTTTCACTCAAAGTCCTCGGAGGATGGGATGCTCTCAATGACAAGTGTCAGTTTCTCTCGGAGCAGCCAACCAGCTAGTGGTTGTAAGGGGCAGCTATTTATAGCCGGGGAGCAGTCCGACATGAGAAGACATAAATGCCCTTCAATTATATGACCGTTAGGTGGATAAGATATTTGGGACAGCTGGCGTGTAGCACAACAATGGTCAAAAATTTGAGCTCTCAAATTCCTCAGGGCTATCATGTTCCTCACTTGTAAACAATCCGCACTGGTGAATTCCTAACTCCTCAGTCAGAATAAATTCCTCAGAAAACAGAAGATCTTCATCTCTGTCACTGAAGGAATTGACTGAACTGTATGAGATTTCCAATGGCTTTACTCAAAAGGATTGGGTAGGTGTAGGCTTTGAGATGAACATCACATGGAAAGTGTTTCCTTAGTTTTACCTCGACCCCCTTTAATAGTACGGTGTTTTCTATGACTCAAGAAAGAGAAAATGAAACTACGAAAACAAAAGTCTTCACGCTTCATAATCCTCGCATCAATATCAAAGTCTTCAAGGTCACACCAATTTCCTCATTTTCAAAGTCTTCATGAAAACCAAAGTCTTCAACTGAAGACATTCTTTTTTAGGGGTCGACTTTCTTCGTAAATATCAAACTCCTCATAGACTTATAAAACCTGTGTACACTCACAAACACATTAGTCCCTTAACCTATAAGTCTTCAATACACCAAAATCACTAAGGGGCACTAGATGCACTTACGAAGACTCTTATCCACCTGTTCTAGAATTGACCTTTCTCACTCAGTTGTTGGACAAACCTGCTCCCCACCAAACAGAGAGGAATATCTGCATATGATGAAATTATACTGACTACGATCAAGCTACCTAAAGACATTGCGGTGGAGATCATAATTATGGGTTGCTGGGGTATTTGGATGGTAAGAAATGATAAAACCTTCAGATCTGCTCCACCACACATAAGCTCTTGGAGATACTATCTCAAGGAAGGACTGCAGAATGTCAAGCTTAGAGCTAAGCAAGCCAAAGTAGTACAGATTGAGCATTGGATAGAACAGAACCTATAATTTGATCCAAATGTTACCTAGAGTTGGTATTGGGTGATTCACCTCATGTAATGATTTTTGTAAATATACTTGTATATTTATGAAAATACCATAGAACAATTGTTCTATGGTCGCAGGTTCAAAAAGAAGTTTTTCTACTTCAGAGCTTACGGATCAAAAGTAGATTCAGCCAATAGTCAGAGACAAAAGTTCTTTTTCTCATGAATACTTTCTTTGTGGGATTCTCATCAAGAAATTTGTACCACTAACGGTTACAAGGGAAATAAACGATGGCATATTCACAAAAATAAATAAATAAATGATGATGTATTGTCAATTTGGGACACTCTATTCCCATTGGGAAACCATATTTTGCTGCCATATGTACTAGTGAGGTACACGTGTGTTGCATGTGAGAAATCAGATAACCTGCTTACGAATGAATATTGACATACAAAGTTATAACAGGTAAACATGCAAGTCTGGAGTACTTTATGCATGAAGTATTGCATTTGCTAAGACAAGTGGACTTTATAAAGTTGTTGTCAGCCTTTAAAAAGAATCATAAAGTAAGAGTAAATGTCAAAAAAAAAGTTGAGGAAATAAAGCGTGGTAAAGTCTAGAACAATCGAGGAGTGCCTTGGTTTGAGGTTTGTGCATATTATACATTGTAAATCGTAAAGTTAAGACATAATGATAATTCATTTAGTGAAAAAAGAAGGCTTGGAGAACTTAAGCATGGAATACTCTAGAACAAAGAAGTGCTTGTGTTTTGAGATTTGTATATTGTGCTTAAGCTCTCAATCTTCAAGATAATACATATGGCAGAATTCGATGGGTGGAGATGATATTCAGTGACTAACAGTGCTTGGATTTGTCACATTTGTACCATCATACTGGCCTCATCCAATGATCAATATTCAAAATTATTCGTAAACTATACAATGGTATAAAAGTGTTACCTTGAAATGGAACCATGGCAAAACAGAACAAACTTGAAAACTACTAACCACATCCTCGAAATTTGGTCAAAATAATGATTTTTGACATGATCTTGAAAACAATGACCAACAGCATGGGAAAACATGAAATGAGAGACTTTAACAAAAACTACCGAAATGCGTGGGTGTTGCCTCGAGTAAAGACGCAACAAGATTTCTGTGAGTTTACACAAACCAATGGCATTGGGAATTTTCTCAATACCATGAAAAAATGATCTCTAAAAAAATCCAAATCTATAGTATAGTATGGTATAGCAAAAATGAAGAAATCCGATACCAATGTTTGACTAAAACTTTGTTGTGACGCTTAATTAATTAATTAATTAATGCACTGGGAATGAAGGACGCACGATGCATCGCAGTCGCAGCACACAGAAAGCTGGTGATAACCCTACGGCTACGCGCATATCCAGGGAACCTGATAGCGTTGCTGACGCGTCGCCACGATCATGGAACCGGCCATTTTACCCGTACAGAGACCGTACCAGTATATATAGCACCAACACCCACGCGGCACACCATGTCCATCAACCATCAAGGCAATAATCCACGTACGGTTGTGAGCGGTTCACCAGCAAGATACATAGAGGTTACAGAGAAGCCAGCAGCAGCAAGCAAGATTGAGCATTCACGGATGGTGGCCGGGGCCGTGGTGCAGGCGTCATCGGTGTTCGCCGCCTTCGACAAGGACGGCGACGGCAAGGTGTCGGCCGCCGAGCTGCGCGGCTCCATGATGGCGGCGCTGGGCGAGGAGGTTTCCGAGGAGGAGGCCGCGGCGATCCTGGCCACGGTGGACGCCGACGGCGACGGGCTGCTGGACCAGGAGGAGTTCTCCCGGCTCGGGCTCGGCGCCGCCGGAGACAACGGTGGGGCGGCCGGAGACGACGACGACGACGAGGTGAGGCGGCGGTGCCTGAAGGAGGCGTTCGCCATGTACGCGACGGGGGGCGGCGAGGAGGGCGCCAGGATCACGCCGGCGAGCCTGAGGCGGATGCTGGGCAAGCTGCTGGGGTCCGAGAAGATGGGGCTGGAGGAGTGCAGGGCCATGATCTGCAGGTTTGACCTCAACGGCGACGGCGTCCTCTCCTTCGACGAGTTCAGGGTCATGATGATGGCCAATTTGTAAAGGAAGGATGGTTTCATTTCATTCGTTCGCTTTTCTCTTCTGTATTTTTGACATGTGGTTGCAGTTGTTCACATGATGGACGTTTCAATTGTATGTTGAGGCTTGGGTGTGATGCTTAAATTTCAAGTTTTCTTCTTTTTCTTTTCAGTTTTGATGATGAAGAGAAGTTGAGGGTGTCATGTTGTAAATAAGCTCATACCTCTTCCTATTTGACATCTACTGTAGTTCATTGATAACAATCTGGTTCATGATTATTTTAAGCAAATGGTAAACCCTCCGTTGACATTTTTTTTGGAACAAATAATAAAGGATATTGGCCTGCTCATGGGGCGGCTCACTTCCTTCTCCCCTTTGCATGCAACAATAACACATGAGCATGATACCAAAAAATTCTTTAAACTTTGAATTTCAAAAAGTTTATCTCTCAAACCGTTAACCTGGTCGACGGTCCGCTTTCATCATTATCTTCGTCACGCGAGATTTTTGAAACTAAATCCCATGTCGGAATGATTTAATTACTTTTTTTGTCGATACTAGCCACATTACTATCACTTATTTACCATGTTATTAGCTATTTAGTTGTCAAATTGATGAAAGTCGATATACTCATCTAAAAGACTTTACAGTATGCCTCCGTCCCGAATTTACTATGATCTAGATACATCCATTTCTGCGGCAAGTAATTCAGAACGAAGGGAGTACTTGTGTGGGTTGATATCTCTTCTTACTTATTGTTACACTTGAATACTCACTCTTGGGCTCAAAGTAATATTGCAATGTTTAAAAACATACACAATTATTGACCGGTAAGGCGGTAACTGTACACAAACTATGTGACAAATGTTCCCACTTAAAAATGGCACTATGTGATAACATAATCTGGCAACTTGTGACGACAAAAGAAATCACTGAAGCACGTCAACGTGAGATCGTTTGAAAGCCCTCTCGGAGGAGAACCCACCGGTGAAAGAAAGGCCGCTAATCGGATTAACGGTTTGCAAGATAAATCATTTTTAAAATACCCATTTAGCAACTAATATGATGATGTCGGCATGATGAGTAAGACCGAGTGCATGTGTGTGCTCTTTCTATGTAGGCAAAATCACATGCATACACGTTGGTACTTTGATATCCCCTATGTACAGAAAACAAGGGAAAGGGTGCCTTGATGTGCAAGAAGAGAAAAGAAACCCACTGGTTTCCATATGCGCAGTCGTCCTTCGCCGTCGTTGACCTATAATTGCCGTCGACAGGACACAGAGTCAACGCTTCTTGCTACCTTGATGAATGTCGAGTACAGGACAGTCATGGGTAACTGACCGGGCTTAACCAAGAGAAGCATGCATCGAGACATGTTGGGTGACAAACAAGGGTTCACGAACAAGTAGATGGACCGACTAAAGGTGACAGATGCTTATCAGCGCACGCAGCTGATGCAAAGAACAGGAACTAGACGAAAACAAAGCGGTGACAAGGGAAACCGGTAGCCTCCAAGTGTTATAGCCGCCGGCTTAGTTGCAACTGGATGCACATTCTAGACCATTCTTGAGTGGTCCTTGAATATACTGTACTTGACTGGAATGGGTCCTTCCAGGATGGACATTCTGGATTCAGACTTCTTTTTCTTCTGGAGATGGGATTCAAACGTCTAGAAAGACTAGAATGAGATAATCTTGCTTAGTCGACGTTACTGGGGCCACGCGCCTACGTAGTTTCCAAGATGTTCCTGTCAGCCAACACCCATCTCCATAAATATGAAATTGACACGAGTAGTTTCGCGAAACTTCTGGTTCGCGTGGAGCATGACCAGTCACAAAACAACCATCAAAGAGAGGCACTTGTACATTATCGGATTTGAGCACTGCTAGTACGATGCACGGAAAAAACTAGACACATCAGCAACTCACAAGTTCAACCAAAGCGTTCATTCAGTTACAAAAAACTAAGCACTGGACAAGAGACCGAAACCGGTAATTAACAACATACAGACAGTATTTGATGTGTTTATGGCTGGCAGCAACACCAACACCGACGAGTGTACATGCAGAATGTCTACAGACTTTCAATATAACACCTATACAAATGGTACCAGGGGCCTAACCAGTCATGCTGCTGCTCATCCTATCCGACCGTAATATAATATATATAATATAGCAATCCTGTAATTAACTCAAACTCGGCTAGAGATTTCGCTTGCCAAAATTGTCCTGGTACCAAAAGAATATTAACTGGAACAACCAATGACGCAGATATACACCTTGGAAGATACCTCTCTGGGATAGATATTCATGATTCTTCCCTCCCTCTGCATCAACTGAAATACTTCACATCATCTGTACTCTTCAAATTCATACAACAGAGGCTGGTTGACTCAGTAGCTTCCCATTGGAGGCATCCCGTATGCTGGCATTGGACCAGGACCCATCGGAGGCATACCCATCCCGCCCATCGGCGGCATGCCCATTCCACCCATCGGAGGTGGACCGCCCATCATGCCGGGCGGAGCAGGCAAGGCCAGAGGAAGCAATTGAGCGTACATGTTCTGCCAAACACAACGCATATTTGTCATGTTGGCTCCTTATAAGCATCATCAATAATAAATAATACATCGTTCAACCAAAACAAAGGGGCACAATAAGATTACCTGCTGCGCAACTAGTTCCTTCTCTTCGTTCTCTTTAGCTTTTTCTTCCTTCTGCGATTCTATTCTGTCCTTCACCAAATCATCCACCTTGCTTGTGTACTCACGGATGAACTGCATGGACAGCAACAACACCATTATAGCAAAATCGTACATATGTGGACATTTCCAATTCCAAACATTCACATGGAAAGATATATACCTGTAATAGATAGGGGAACGCAAAATCCAGCATGTTATTCGTCCATGCAAGCTCAAGAGCAACATCCGCACGAATCAAGTCGTAGCAAATGAAGAGGCAAGAAGCAAAACATTCTTTCTTTCCCTGCAAGAAAACCAGACATCTTTAGTGATAAGAAAAGCAATATCACGTGCTGCCATTCCATGACAGCCGACTAAAGTTCAAAAATTACAATAGAAAATTCACACTGCTAAACCAGCACAAGAAAAGGCATAACTCAATTCGCATAGAATTCAGACCTGTCCGATGAAATAGACAAGCAAGTCCTCTGAGAGCTCACGGTCACCAGACTGTGAGCATGTCTCCATGCAATCCTTGTACATGTTGTCTTTCTTCGATAGGGCAATGGATTGCTTCCATCTGCCAGCCTTCTTGTAAATGTAGGCAGCAATCCTTCTCATCTCAAGCAACTCATGCTTCTCAAGCTGGTCAACAAGAGCAGGCACTGGTTATAAAAACAGTAATAACATCAACAAGCATTTCATATTTGTCTAGTTTTCTTACCTTCTGGGCAAGACCTATCTGATCAAAGTTATCATGCATGTCAACAGATTCACGGAGCCTCTCGTAGTCCTCCTCTTCGACATAAAGCTCATTCAAAGCTTCATTGACAGCAGAGACATTGTTGCTCTGAACTGCAACCATGTACGGTTTCACAAGATGCAACTGACCAGCCTGCATCAAAATAACAGAACAGTTCAAAGTTTTAGCATGGTATACAAGTCTAAGACACCAACATCTTCAATTAGGTACAAACCTTGCGCATTATATCTACAACTCTGGTATGATCCAAACGAAGTGCGAGCACATTGAGAAGATCATTGATGAGATCAGGGTGCTCTTGCAAATAGAAATGCACTGCCTTGTAATAAATCTCAACATTTGCAACTTTAACACAGACATCCTTAAATTGCATGTGATCCCATGCATCTGGAGAATGGTTCATGATAGTGGTAGCAGCATTGTCAAATTCATCATATTGAATGTATAGGTATGTAAGCTCTTTCCAGTGCTGTTGTTCATCACAAGCACGGATAAGCTTAGGAATGTTGAGACGGGTGGAGAAGAGTTTGATGTGTTCCATGAGCTTCTCAGGGCGGTATCTGGCATAGAGAACTCCCAATTCAGTAAAGATGCCCATGTGTGCCCGCTCAAGTCCAAGACCACTCTCCATGAGGGAAATAAGTTCACTGAAACATCCTCTGTTCTGGTAGTATTCACTCACTTCCTCCAAGTCATCAACCTAAACAAAAAAGAAGGCATGTCAGAAAGGAACATATATAATATATTAAGCTCAAAAGGATGTCCCCGCTTATATACCTGAACGATAATGTTGAGACCACAGATTTGTGCTAGACGGAACTCCTCAGCGTCAACACAAGCAAAGCAGACCTCCTTCCATGTTTTAGCGCTGTTAGCCTTGCGAGCAGCATCTACAGCACCTTGGAACTGCTTTAGCTTGACCAAAGTGACAGCCAGCTTAGCCCAGTTTGAGATGAAGGCATAGATGATCTTTGCAGCTTCATAGAGCTCTTCATCATACAGACGGTCGCCAACATTTTGGAGATTGGCAACATTCGGCATCAGAATAAACTCTTCAATGTCACTGAGCCTATCAATCTTAGCATATGCAAAGATGAGTTCGCTGTCGACTTTGGGCTCCCTTGCCTTTTGCCTTACCATCAACAAGTACTTGACCAAATCATGGTATACATTGGCTTCCTCCGCAGCGCGGATGACATCAAGGAAATGTGTCACATCATCTGCACGAATGAAGGACTCGATTGCTTCGCTGACTAGACCTTCACGCAACTGGGCCTTGGCAACCTGGCTCCAGACAGCATCTTCTTCGACACGGAATGCAAACTCTTCCGCCCTTTCTATGCTTCGGATGTTATCCAACAGAACATCGACAGCCTGCACATTTAAGTTGAACTTCTTGAATATGGCAAAAGCCTCCTCATAAAGTTGTGCTTCAACTGCTACTTCTCCGACGGCAGGACCATCAAAGTTGTCTAGTCTGTTAACATAGTCCATGACCCTAGATGAGTCCGCCTTGATGGCTGTCAAGATGAGCAGATTCTGAAGATTGAAGTTTCCACTGAACGCGGAATTCTGAAGGACAATCTTCTCAAGAAGTTCAATCAGTTCATGAGGGAGGTCAGCTGTCATGAAAGCCTTAACAGCAGCAGAAACTTGCTCAGGACTCTTGCTTTCGGGCAATGCAGTAGAAACCACTTGGTCAATGAACTGCCTTCTATATTCGTTATCAGGCTGTAGAACTTTATCCCACAGATCACCGTCCATTC